CCATAAAAAGTCCTAGTCGTACCGACTGACTGCCCGAGAGAAAAGAGAGATCCTCCCTCATGTCAAGGGACGCACCGTCAACAGGTTATGGGCCCAGGAAAGAAGTTCTTGGAAGGTATGGGCGACTATTTTTTGATGGAGATGAACAAAAATATGAGCAATGGGAGATTAAATTCCTCGGATATATGCGTTTACAAAAGTTGCACAAAGTAATTACTGCCGACGAAGACGAAGATATAGACAGAGATAAAAATGCAGAGGCATTTGCCGAGTTGATCCAGTTTCTTGATGATAAAAGTCTATCGTTAATTATGAGAGATGCCGTCGATGATGGTAGAAAAGCTTTAAAAATATTAAAAGGACATTACGCGGGGACGAGCAAACCAAGAATTATATCACTGTACACACAATTAACATCTTTGATGAAATCAGCAAATGAAACTGTCACCGATTATTTAATACGAGCTGAGACAGCTGCAACAGCCTTAAAGAATGCGGATGAAATTGTGAGCGATGGATTATTGATAGCCATGGTACTAAAGGGACTTCCAGAATCGTTCAAACCTTTCTCTGTGTTTGTTACCCATAGCGAGACTAAACAATCATTTAGTGAATTTAAGCAAGCGTTACGTAGTTTTGAAGAAAGTGGATGAGCCCGAGACGATCATCGTGGCGAAGATTCGATCTTCAAGTTTGATACCAAGAAATTCAATCATGATAATCACGGAAAAGAGAAGAAAAAGTGTTACTCATGTGGAAAACCGGGACATTTCGCTAGACAGTGCTCAAACAAAGAAAAACCGAAAAAGATGTGGTGCAAAACATGTCAAAGTTCAACCCATGATGAAAGTATATGTCGAAAGAAGAGAATGAAAGAAAAGACAAAAGATGAGGTAAAACTGACATCAAATTTTGATGAAGAGCATTCCTTTGCATTCCAAGTTAAAGTAGAAGAAAATGCCAAAGATAAGAGATTTCAAGATATGTTATTGGTTGATTGTGGAGCAACATCCCACATTATCACTGACGAGTCCAAGTTTACAAGCTTCGACGATGCATTCAAACCCAATTCACATTACATTCAGTTGGCAGATGGCACAAAGTCAAACAATGTGGCACTAAAGAGGGGTAATGTAAGCATACACATAATTGATTCCACAGGGAAATGTACAGCTGTATCTTTGAAGAAAGCACTGTACATACCTTCCTATCCACAAGATATATTTTCTGTGCAAGCTGCAACCGAGAAAGGAGCAAGTGTTGAATTCCACCCACAGTCAGCAGAATTAAAGAGCACTGATGGCACAAAGTTTAATATAGAGAAACGTGGTAAACTTTATTATTTACCCACTATAACTAACAAAGACCACGAAAATGGAGATTCTGTAAACTACACTTGTGACCTAAAGAGCTGGCACGACATACTAGGACATTGTAACTATGAGGACATATGGAAGTTGCAACATGTCGTTGATGCTATGAAGATCAGTGGTAGCAGAACTGCCAAACCAGATTGTGGAACTTGTCTTCTGGGAAAGATGACTCAAAGTAGAAACAGAAATCCTGACATTCGATCAAAAAACCCTTTGGAACTTATACACACCGATCTTGCTGGTCCTATAGATCCTGCTTCAAATGAAGGATTCAAATACGCTATATCCCTTACAGATGATAATTCAGGGGCTGTTTTCGTGTATTTTCTTAAGAAAAAGTGTGACACTACTGAAGCAACAAAGAAATTCCTTTCTGACTCTGCCCCATATGGAAACATTACGAGAATGAGATCCGACAATGGTGGTGAATTTATCTCCAGTGACTTCAAAACATTGATGCGTAGTAACGGTATCAAGCATGAAACCTCTGCCCCTCACTCGCCTCATCAAAATGGCACTGCGGAGCGCCATTGGAGGACACTATTTGATATGGGTAGGTGCTTACTCACAGAATCAAAATTGAATAAGATGCTTTGGCCATATGCAGTTAAGGCAGCTGCATATATAAGGAATAGATGTTTGAATAACCGCTTAAATCAGACACCGTATTTTGCTCTTACAGGTCGTAAACCAAACTTAGCTAACATGAGGGTATTCGGTAGTGAATGTTTTGCTTATGAGCACTGCAAGCAAAATTAGATCCTATGTGTTCAAAAGGAATTTTTGTTGGATTTGACAACGATAATCCAGCGTACTCAGTGTATTTCCCAAAAAGCAATAAGGTTTTAAGTTATAGAATTGTGAAGTTCATCCAGAAGAATGTTTGTGAGCGTCAAACACAGACAACTGAGATAGAAGATTTGGGATTGCCAGTTGAAAGCAAGGGCAGTACAAGGGAGTCTGAACCAATGCATGAAAAAAAATCCGAATGTACATGATGCAAATGAGGAGATTGATGTAAGTAAAGGTGAGAGTGAGATTGTAGCATGTGAAGAATCAAATAATAGTTCACGATTAGAAAACAATTTAAGATACCCGCAACGAGTTAAAAAAGCGCCAGACTACCTGAGTGACCATGCCAAAAGTATTCAAAGTGAGAATGAGCCACCTTTAATGTATAATGATTATTGTTATAAGATCAGCGGATTTCCCCAATCATATGCTGAGGCTATGAACTCCGCCGATGCTAAGCACTGGAAAGCAGCGATGTTAGAAGAAATGAGTTCTCTTAAGAATAACGATAAATTCAGCTTAACCACTTTACCAGAACATCGCACATAAACCAACACACAAACTCAAATCATACTTCACTAAACATAAAGACCAAACAACGACATTTGACACAACCAACGCGATCTACATGATACCATGTAAAGATTGCCCCAAACAGTACATAGGACAAACATCCAAGAAAATTGAAACAAGACTCACTGAACACAAGAATGCCATCAAACGACGCGACCCAAAATCACTAGCAGCAGAACATACCCACGATACCAACCACACATTTGACTGGACAAAAACACAACTTCTTGGACGCGCACAGACAAAACACGCACGAGAATTCAAAGAGGCATGGTACAGCAAAGACAACAACACAATAAACAGACATATTGACATCCCCATCATCTATTCACAACTAAAGACAAAACCAAAACAACAAACTAATAACACAACGACTAAAATAAAACACTCGAATTTCATTAACGCAATCCATACACCCGAAACCATGACAACGCATCTTATACCATCCAATAATATCAACTCAACTACTAACCAACCAATCAGACGCTCCAAACGTCTACAAAATCTTTGTAAATAATATATTCTTACATTCTGACGAAGGCATAGAATAGAGAATATATAGAAGGGCTACTCGCAGGTGAAACTCGTGGCATATTTTCTGTGCGCATGCGTTAGGTCCGCCATTACTCTGGCCAGTAACTTGACGCTGGCGTACTATAAAATAGTATTGGAAAAGTGCGATTTTGGGATAATAATCGCCTAAAACGCAAACTATTTTGGAAGATCATGGAATTTTGTGACAAAACGTGAAAGAAATAAGGTGAGAGACCATTATTTAATTGCTGGCAAGTCCGTAAAGGTTTTTTATTGGTAAAAATTACATGTTTCAATGTAGGGTGTTTATTTTACTGCTATAGAGTTGTCAGTATGTTAGGTGAATAGAAGTCCAGAAGTAAAATCTCTTGCGTTTTCGTCCATTCTGAATTATAAATTTCAAACTTTTGAGGTGTTATTATAAATGTATTATTTAAAACACAAACTTGTCAGAGTTTTACTTGTACCAACGCTGTAATATTTCACGTTGCAACTTGCCAACTTGCTAAACTATAAATCAAGTTAATCAACCAGCTAACCAAGTAATCCAATAATGATTCATGATGCTTGTGTGTGAATTATAACTGGTAATAATTTGCAACATTCAGTTTCAAACCATGGAGGGTTTGTTTATCACTTTAAGCATTTTTGAAATGTTAATATGTTAATAGTTGGGCATTTTAAATACCAAATGTTGTTTTAGTGAGGTATACACTCTGTTTGCCTTATTAATAAATTTTGCCTTGCTGTGATTTGTGCTCTATTAGATTTATTACCAATAGTTATGATTGATTTTCTGATATTTTTTTCTAGTTGTTATTTTGGCATTCAGTTCTCAAGTGAGGATTATGTTGCAAATGTCTTGTGTTATGTAGTTTTAGTATGTTGGATTAGATTTTAGTGGCTACTTGTTGCAGTAGCATGTTGAACTTTGTTAAATTCTATTACGTTTTTATTATGATTGGGTGGATTTTGTAAGGGTGCTCTATTAAACATTGATCACAATTTCTTCAGCTTAATTGTTTAGTATACCAATATTTATAGAGAAATTAGCATTTCTTCTGCACCCCCATCTAGCTTAAGCTAGGAGGGCTGCACACCCCTCTCTCATATCCATCTCTGAATAAAGTTGTCATTAAATTTTTTAAATGTAAATATGTGTACTGTATTGCTGTATTTTATTCTGTATATTCTATTGCATGAAATGCACACATTCTAAATTTAAATTGTATTGTGTTAAAGATTTTTGTGCACCATGTAAATCTTTAATGACAAAGACATGTTTTTAGCCTTGTAACCATTAAGAAAATATAATATTTATTATATTGCTGTTATTTTGTACATAATTTTCACTCAGAAATGTCTTTATCAAAATAAGTTTCCAATGTTATTCAATTCTCAAATCACCCAAAGCATTGTATATTGAGTTTGCTGTGGATCTTTCTCACGTGTGCATCTCTACTGCAACTTTTTGATTCGAGATTATAAAGTTGTACATTTTCCAAAGCTATTTTTAACTGTTTTCGAATTAATATTGTGGTCATGAGTGAAAAGGTAAAATTAAAGGGGAAGCAGAACATTTTGTTCTGCTATGAACTGTTCTAACAGCAAAGAATCTCATCTACAATTGAGTTTTTTCCGTTTTCCTAAAGACGGCGTAAGGTGAGTTTCTAAACTAAGCTTTCAATCAACTAATAAAGAAACTACATGTAAATTTCGTCCGTTATAACGTCTCATTGTATAATGTATAACGCAAAACGTCTATAGATCGAAAGAATGGGTACAACTTTCCAGGCGCGAAGATCTGCGAAATAAAAATACCGAATACTTGTACAAGAATTGTCAGTTATGCTCCAAACACTTCGAAGACTGCATGTTTACTAATAGTCAAAAAAGGCGATTAAATCCTGCAGCAAAGCCCACGATTTTCGACATTCCAAACAAACCACCAACTGTAGGTCAAAAGCGACGAATTCTACGAAGGACAACCACCGATATTGCCACTAAAGGTAATTCAATTATTTTTATTTTCTTAAGTCCTTTAGAGCATAATAATTTTGTGCTGTGTTCTTTTTTTTCAGCCAAGAGACAGAAGCTGATAAGAAAATCGAAAGCAACTGAAGGTATGATAGAGAAATTCAAATTATATGACAATACAAAAACTTTTGAAAACTGTCTACATTTTACGACGTGCTCTTTTTCCATTCATTTTCTCAAAATTACTTATTGTAAGTTGTTTCTCCGTAATTATGCCTTAGCTTTATTTATGACAATGAGAAAAACCCATCCTTGGAGATTGTTTTCAGTTTTTATGTTTTTCACACACTTTTTTTAAAATCTTATCACAATTGTTAACATTTTAACAACAGAAATATGTTCGTTGATAAAATTAATTTGTTGCTAATAGTTCAAGAAAGTGTTTGTGATAGCCCCGATCAAGAATTAATGGAAACTGACGATACAACGGAAAAGCAAGGTATATTTAATAATACATTTAAAATTAATTCTTCAACGTAACTCAAGACTAGTACGGTAGTAAAAGTATAAGTTTTGCACTACATACAATAAATTAATCAAAAGGACAAATTGTTTTTATGTGAATTTAAAGGGCACCAAGAAAATTTGTCACGAACAGGGGCGGATCTAGAGTATGTCAAATCCGTCGCACGACTGATGTTTGAAATTCAAAAATTACCTATTCATATTAAATAAATATTCATTAATTATTCTTACTTTAATATTGCATTTACTTCGTGATAAAAATCCAGCTTTATTTATTATTGAAAACTAATGACTAATCCAATGAATATCTCCTTGGTAACCAGATCAGTTGAATTTTAATTGACCTGGAATAACCGACTGATAAGCGGGGTGGCTTGACTGGTTCGACTTATAAAGGAGTCTATGAACGCCAGAAACGCTATTTTATTGGTCAATGGCCAGATCAGTGGACAGTCTGGAATAATCTCGACCGATAATAGGGGTGGCCGGACCTATAAGGGAGTCCAATTGCTATCTTACAATTGGCTCATTTGAATTTTTGTTTTATTGTGATTGGTTTGACCGATTTCGACTGATAGCCTTCTGAGCTAACATAGTCAAGCGTGGTGTCTGGAATGCGAGATAGATCATCACGTTGTGATTCACTATAGCGTGGTTTGTAAAATCTGTTTCATTGCATTTATTTGGAAAATCGTTTACAAACTACAATGTTAAATATTGATATGTATGCTGCTGTTCAGACTGCAATTTCGCAAGAGAATGATAAATCTCTGAATGAATTGAAATTGCGTTTGAATGAGGAATATTGTGGGGCGACTAAAATGTCCAGAGAGGAATTCTTATCATTGCTTTTGAAAGACGAAACATCATTGAGCAGAGAGTTCTCAGCAGAAATTTACATCCCCAAAATCGTACGTAAGCAACACGAGGACAAAGGAAATGTATGCATGGCTTTAAGGTATCCAAACCATTAATATCAATTTATGCGACTATGAGATGTGGTTTATGTCTATTGACTGTTGTAGTTTATGTCTATTGACTGTAAATTTTAATGAAGCAGATTTCATTTTGTGCAGTGTATACTAAAGATCTACGGCTTGGCCTTTTAATTTTATTATAAATATTGGCATAAATTCAGCGAATAGTGAATTTATATTTGAACTTTGAATTATCTTCTACATGTAACTACGTTGCTATGTTAGATATTTCCTGGCCAGTTAGTTAAATTTTTGTTGGAGGACTTATAGGAACACGACTTTTTTATTCAATTTAGATCAGAAGTATCTGGCAACTGTCTCTACAGTTCAGTGTCATTGCTTTTGGCAGGTGATAACAGTTTATTGCATATTTTGAGGCAGTTAACATCACTTGAGCTGTTTTTGAATGCTACTTTTTACTGCCAACATCCTTTATTTTCCTCAATTGTTGAACAGCATAAAGAATTCAACAACACCTCAAAGAATATTTTACCTTTGACAGTATCTCAAGACTGTCTAGATTCTGGTTTTGTAGGTGTTGATCTTGTCAAAAAGGAGGCCTTTTTGAATTGTCATGACCAAAAGTGGTCATCGTTTCTATGCATTTTAGCTCTTTCTTCTGTGTTGGAGACAAAAATTTTTACTTACTACCCAGATTGTGGAGAGAGAAGGCCTAAATCAATATTCAACTCTCTTGTTTGTCCCAGAAGAATATTTAAAGAATCAGCCGATGCAATTCATCTTTTGTTTTGTTATAAAGGGATAGTTATACCAGATCAATGTTTCCAACCTAATCATTTTGTCCCTCTAGTTTTTTTCCTAGCAAAACTAAAAGGACAATTTCTGGTCCAACATGCCCAGTGCCTTCAAAAAAAGCAAAAGCTGAAAAAAATTTCTGGGAATATCAGTAAGTTTTTTTCAAAAATGGAAAAACCAGAAATCATTACAAGTGAGGTTTCTTGTACTAGGGTTACTGAACAAACCATTGAAGATTTACAGGTAAAGCCTAACTTTAGTCACAATTTTGATGTAGCTACCTACTACGAAAGAGCTAAAGGTTTGAAAATGTCTGATATTTGTTTGCTTATTAAAAATGTTTTTAAACCTGATGAAAATTACACTTTTCCTCCTTTGAGTGAGAACAATAAAAGGTCTTTTAAATATGAATGGCTCAAAGATTTTACCTGGCTGTGTTATTCACCAAAAGAAGATGGTGCTTATTGCTTATCATGTGTTCTCTTTGGACATCAATTCCCCAGTAAATGCTCGAAAATAAACAATCTATTTCGTTCACCTTTTCGTCATTGGAATGATGCTGTAGGTACATTTAGGCGACATGCTGGAAATTGTAAGGGGGAAAAAATGGGACTACATGCATCTACTTCTCCAATTTTGAATAATATATGGTCTCAAATGTCAGGTGTAGCTCAACCCATTGAAAATATCTTAGATACTAACATAAAACTTGAAATTGAGCAAAATAGGAAAATTCTTAAACAAATTGTTGATACAGTTCTTTTTTGTGGAAGGCTTGGCATTGGATTACGAGGTCATCGTGACGATGCTCAATTTCACCCAGAGCAATGATCTATCTCGCATTCCAGGTCATCGTGACGATGCTCAATTTCACCCACTCAATTTCGGTTGCTATTCAGTCAATGGCAATGTTGGTAATTTTGTTGAATCTTTAAATTTTAGAGTTAGAGCTGGTGATCAAACTTTGGAAAATCATTTGCTCAAATGTGGCAAGAATAAAAGTTATATTTCCAAGACCAGCCAAAACAAAATCATCAACTGTATTGGTCAGGTAATAACAGAAGATATTATAAACGAGATAAAAAAATAGATATTATTCTATCATTGCAGATGAAGCTGCTGATTCTTCTCACAAAGAGCAATTGTCCCTTGTTCTACGGTTTGTTGACTCTTCAATGAATGTTAAAGAAGAGTTCATGTGTTTTCTGCATTGCAAATGGGGGTTGAGTGGTCAACAACTTTCAAAGCTTATTTTAGAAACTCTAGAGAAATTTGCCTTACCCATTATGGATTGCAGGGGACAAGGTTATGATGGTGCAGGGGCTGTTTCTGGGCATATAAATGGTTTAGCAGCCCACATTTTAAGAACTAATCCTAAAGCTCTTTACACTCACTGTTACAGTAATCGACTAAATTTGTCTGTCTGTGACACTCTTTCTAACGTTGAAATTAATAACATGTTATCTGTTGTTTCTCAAGCTGCCAATTTTATCAACATATCACAGACACGCAACATACCCTTTGCTGAGCACGTTAAAAAGTCAGATGTTCAGACCAAGAAGGCAAAACTGGTAAGTCTTTGTAAAACCAGATGGGTTGAGCGAGTTGACAGTCTTGACACGTTTCAACAGTTGTTTATCCCTTTAATCGACACTCTTCAGGACATGATAAACAATGTAAGCGGCGAGGTGAAGCCTTCTCTTGCTGCTGATGCTTCCCAGTTACTTTCATTAGTTACTCAATTTCATTTTATTGTTGCGCTAGTTATTACAAGAAATATTCTTGATGCTACTCCTCCAGTCACGCAATTGTTGCAGGGAAAAACTATTGATGTTATGGATGGTTTTCATTTGATAACCACTTTGAAGAATGATGTAGCCAACATGAGGAAAAGCATTAATTTTTATCATAACACTTGGTATGAAGAGGCTTTAAAACTTGCTGAAGAGGTCAACGTTCAAGAAACAAAAAAGCGAATTGCTGGAAGACAAACTATGCGATCTAATCCCCCCAGTCAATCATTCAAAGAACATTATAAACTAACCATCACTATTCCTTTATTAGACCATCTTCAAACATCTTTGAGAACTAGGTTTAACTTGGATAGTGTTAATGTGTACCGCGGATTATCTATCGTTCCCGTCAAAATGATGACTCTGTCGGACAAAGGAATTGATTGGAAAGAACAGTTTAAAAGTGTTTCAAAATTCTATCATGATGACTTGCCCAACCCCCTTGGTTTAGATGCTGAATTAAGGCAATGGCGTTTATACTGGGAAACGCACAATGGGCCTTTGCCAGAAAACATCGTCAAAACACTGAAGCATGCAACATTTCCAGGATTTGAAAATATTAAAGTTATTCTTCGCATTTTAGGTACACTACTAATCACCTCATGTGAATGTGAGAGATCAATTTCAGCACTGAGGAATCTAAAAACCTACCAAAGGAGCACTATGGTAGAGGAACGTTTAAATGGCCTGGCTTTAATGCAAATTCAACCAGAAATTATTCCTGACATAGAAAGAGTGATCAATAAGTTTGCTGAGGGTAATACACGTTTGAAATTTGCTTAATGTGTTATGGCTACGTTACTGTAGAAATATTACTGACTTTTAGAAATGTCTTACAGCACAACTGGCTGCTTAATGCGCCGTTGCTGCAGAAATGTCTTACAGCACAACTGGCTGCTTAATGCGCCGTTGCTGCAGAAATGTCTTACAGCACAACTGGCTGCTTAATGCGCCGTTGCTGCAAAAATGTAAGACAGTGCAACTGGCTGCTTAATGCGCCGTTGCTGCAGAAATGTCTTACAGCACAACTGGCTGCTTAATGCGCCGTTGCTGCAGAAATGTCTTACAGCACAACTGGCTGCTTAATGCGCCGTTGCTGCAAAAATGTAAGACAGTGCAACTGGCTGCTTAATGCGCCGTTGCTGCAGAAATAAGACAGTGCAACTGGCTGCTTAATGCGCCGTTGCTGCAAAATAAGACAGTGCAACTGGCTGCTTAATGCGCCGTTGCTGCAGAAATGTAAGACAGTGCAACTGGCTGCTTAATGCGCCGTTGCTGCTAAATCAAAGACTGTCCATGTCCGGAATCACATTGTTGCTTTGCACTATGTGTTTCCTAGGCATGCTGAAGAGCCCTGACATTGGGCGAAACGGTCTTAGCGTGTTTGTCCTCAATATTTTGTAAGAAAAAAATGAAAAACTGCGATTTCATTCACTTTGAAAATTTGTTGTAAAGCTATTCCAAAACGCTGGAAATCGCATTTCTGGGACCCTAGGCTTCAACATTTTCCAGGGGGGATGCCCCTGGTCACGAACAAGAACATTAGATTTCTGTTGTCAAACCAGCACTAGCCTCACCAACAATACACCAAGGAAAAAAAAGCAAAAAATGGTGATCAGATCTAAACAAGAAAAAATCAGAAGATTGAACACAAAATTGAACAAGATACTGAAGAACAAGGCAACACATCAACAAGTACTAGAAAATGCTCTCGAGAAACTGCCTGATCATTTGGCAAATTTTGTAAGAACACAGATAAAGTTACATACAGCCAAGAAAAAAGGAAGACGATATTCACCTGAAATGAAATCCATGGCAATTTCTTTGTACCATTCAAGTGGGAAAGCATATCGGCTGTTGTCGAAACTGTTTATTTTACCAAGCAAGACCTCTCTTCGAAATTACATATCTAGAGTACCAACAGAAACAGGGATATCACAGGCCACAGTCAATACTCTACAGCAGAAAGTTTCTCAGATGGATCCAATGGAAAGGTTGTGCACTCTTTGTATGGATGAAATTTCATTAAAGTGCCATCTACAATACAGCATTCCCAAAGATAAAGTCCTTGGTTTAGAAGATTTTGGTTCTGGATTCCGAACAAACAAGGTGGCAACTACTGCAATGGTTCTATTGACAAGAAGTATTTCTGGTAGGTGAAACAGCCTCTTGGTTATGTGCTTGCCAATGGAGGATGCCCAACTGAAATTTTGGAAGATGTTCTTAAAGAGGCCCTAGACAAATTGGAGCAAATTGGTCTAAATGTAGTGGTGGTAATATCCGACATGGGTTCCAATTTTCATAGTTCTGCCAACCGTTTGGAAGTAACCCCTGACAAACCGTGGTTTACTTATAACAAAAGAACTTACCATCTCATGTTTGATCCCCTCATCTAATGAAGTGTGTTCGAAACAACCTGATGAAATACACCTTTAAGTTTGATGGCCTTGCTGCTTCGTGGAATGATATTGAACAATTTTATAACAAAGACAGTTCACTTCACACAAGGCTTGCACATAAATTAACGGACAAACACATCCACCCAAATAATTTTGACAAAATGAAAGTCAAATATGCCACTCAAGTTTTAAGTTACACTGTGGCCTCAGGAATTTGTACATATGTGAGTATGGGTGGTCTTCCTTCCTCTGCAATGTGAACTTCAGAATTTGTTTCCAAATGTGATTCTATTTTTGACTGTGTGAACAGTTCCATGTTGCAAACAAGTAAAAAACTTATGTGTGCCATCAATGAAAAATCATTCCACATTGAATTTCTGAAGGAAAGCATCAATTTCATCAAAAATTGAAAGTGTTCCAAGGGAATAAAGATGTCACTGGTAGAGTTAAGTGTCTGCATGGCTGGTTAGTGACACTTAAAGCCATCATCTCGATATGGGAAACATTACGATCAGTGCATCAGTTTAAGTTTCTTTTTACCAGACGACTAAATACTGACCCACTAGAAATTTTTTTTGGTACTATTCGTCGCCAGGGAGGCAATAGTGATAACCCCACTCCAACCCAATTTATGCAAGCATTTAGAAAGCTTTTCTTCAGTTCCTTCTAACCTGTTCATCTGGAAATTGTGACAACGACCTTGATTCTATGCTGGTTGAGTATTCCAAAAATGTTGCAAAGAATAAAGTCAGCCAGAAGAAAACAGTTCAAGTCTTTCCGCCTCCGCAACCACAAATTTTAGCAATTGGTCCTACTGACTACAAGGAGCCAAATGTTGTTACTAACACAATGAGGAAAATGCCATTGCATATGTGTCTGGTTTTCTTCTAATGAAGAGTTTCAAACTCCACTCTTGTCTGAAATTCACCAATGCTCTTTCATCTACAGAACTGGATGATAACAGAAAGTTATTCTGCCACTTTAAAGCATTCGATGAAAAGAAATCCGATTTAGGAGGACTACAATCACCATCTTCTCCTTATCTGGAATACATCATCAAACTTGAAGACACATTTATTAAGACGTTTTCTGTCTACACAAAGAGCGAAGGTGTTGGTCGAAGTATATTAGACACCGTCAAGTCCATACCAAAGGAATTTGATTGCTGTACGGAATTCCCATTTGAGTTCTTGCAGAAACTTTTTGTAAGAATGCGCATTTATTACGCCGTAAAATTTGCGAACCGCATATTCGCAACAACTAAAAAGAAAGACAGAAAGTACATTAAAGTCACACACCTTTGAGGGCTTTGTGCATATAATTTTTTGTCCTTTATAAAACTAAATTGAAAACAAAAGCTTTTTATATCACAATAATATATTTAACATGTAATACATCCAAGTTCATTTAAAGCCCGGTCAAACGAGCGCAACATTTTGATCCAACATCATCCAACTTTGTTGTCACAAAATGTTGGCCCCGTTTGACCACCCTTTTTTATAATGTTGCATGATGTTGGACAATGTTGCATGGAATTTGATTGTAGTCAAATTTTTATCCAACAAATTATGCTAATTTTGCATGTTGCGATCGTTTGACCTGGCGTTAGCAACAATGTTGGTCATACGCATGCGCAATATACGTTTAGCTTGATAATAAACATGGCGGACGAAATAGCAAACTTAAGTGACGAAGAAGTAATTGTAGAAGAATATAATACCAAAAAGAAAAAAGCAGTTAGAAAGTGGACCACGAATGAGACCAACACCTTGATTGACTTGTTCGAAGAAAGACCTTGTCTGTGGGACATATTTCAAAAGGACTACCACTGCCGAGATGTAAAGGAACTAGCTTACGAGGAAATGAAGAATATATTGGGGATTAGCGTGAAAGATATTAAAGCTAGACTTGTTTCACTAAGGGCGCAACTTGGCCGAGAAATCGCGAAAACAAACAAAACGAAATCTGGTCAAAGTTCGAGTCAGAACTATTCATCGTCGTGGGCTTATTGGGACCGATTACAATTCCTTCGTCCGGTTATGAACGCTGGCAAAAGTAAAGACAACCTTTCAAAGCATTCATCTTCAAATATATCTCCTCGTCTTGATTCTGTTGATGATGAGATGGATACAGGATTGGATTCGGAGTCGGTTTCATCCAAATCATCACGTGGCAGTTATAAAACACCCACTAGGATACGAGCTGAAGCAGAAGAAAAGAAGAGAGACCTTATTACTACTTGCATTGACGTTTTAAAAGAGCCAATGCCTGCTTCAAATAGTGTTAATCAGTGTCCATTTTCAATGTATGTGGCAGAGAAGTTATCAAAATTTCCACCAAGAACCAGAATAGTTGCTGAAAAACGCATCACAGATATAATTTTTGAGCTGGAAATAAATGAAATGAATAGTTCGACATCCCATCCAACACTTTTTTATTCAAATCATACAAATGCAAATCAAAACATTGGTCAGCAATTCACAGAAGAACGTCCGTATGAAATGCAGTTAAATCCACAAGTGACTACAGAAACTGAAATCCGCATTCCATTTTTAAGAAATGCTGTGCAATATTAAGGAAGCTTTCTATGTATAGCAAATAATAAGTTCCATGTTTAGTATTCTACTGTTGCTATTGTTGTAATTGAGGATGACAGAATGAGGTAGAAAAATTTTGTATTTTACTTAAAATAGATGTGTTATTTTTAAAAAAATAGACAGCTTGCAACATTTTCATCAACTTCATATCACCTTTGTATAGTGACTAAAATTTACTTAGTTTTGTTTTGCAAAATTGCATGAAATTGAGTTTGTTGATGAATTATCAATGTAATGGCTATTCAATATTTTAGTAAATAGTAACTAGCATCTTTCCCATTGCCATTCTATAGCACCATGAGTGCAAAAATATTCCATAAATGCATTCCTAATTGATTTTGCAAGATTTGAAGAGTTATGACCAGATGATGATACACTGAGTGATGTAAGTATAGCTGAATTGTCTTGTCGCCATTGACCAGGAATGAGGTTACCACTTGAATCTTCAGCATCACATAAACCAGGTGGACAATAATCATTTCTGGAGGCACCTTTTCTCAAGAAATTATGAAGTACAAATGCAGCTTTGATTAAGGATTCCACAGTTTCTGGTGGTAGCTGAAGTGTTGTCCTCAAAAATCTCCATCTGTTAACTACAATTCCAAAGAGGTTTTCAGATATGCGCCTAGCTCTACTATGTCGATAATTATACACTCTCTTTTCTATGGAAAGACCTTGTTGGGGGTATGGTTTCATAAAGTACGGTTTCAGAGCAAATGCATCATCACCCACCAAAACAAAGGTAAACACTCTGAACATCCGCAAGATATTCAGGACTTGGTAAGGATAATTTATTGTCCTCAATAGCCAATGCCAATCCACATTTATTCCATATTCGCCATCGGATACACGACCATTTGTGCCAATGTCTGCATACAAACACTCATAATCAGGTCCTGCTACAGCAAGGACAACTATAGAATGAGTGTGCTTGTAATTGTAGAAGTAGGAGCCTGAATTTGGTGGTTGTTGTACAACTACATGTTTGCCATCAATGGCTCCAAGGCAATGAGGGTACTGCCACTTCTCATTAAATTTTTTGGCAATATGCAACCATTCTCGCTTTTTGGATGGCACTTTCATATAATCTGGTTGAACATGATCGTTTATAGCATCACAAACATTTTTACAATATATGAAATTGCAGATCTTGATATTCAAACTGAAAACTTAATGATCTATATGATTCCCCAGTGGCCAAAAAACGTATGGTCAATGTTAATCTTTCTGCAGCTGTGATTACTTTGTGACCACCAGAGACCTGACACGGCGTAATGTCTTTTTCAATATATCGTAATAACGTTTGAAAGTCGTCATAGCTAATTCGCATCATTTCTTTATATCCTGCGGTATCCTCCATTCTTAATTCCTTAACAATGTTGGTAAAATAGCCCTTTTCTTTTCTTTTCTTCATCCATGGTCTTGTTTTTCCTCTTGTCCAACTTCTTTTGTTTTCCTCTAGAAGTTCTACTACACATAAGGCAGCTGCACAACGACGAATTTTGTGATATTGATGAATTTCAAAATTAGTGGCCGCCATATTTATTCGAATTGCGTAATGTTTAATCATCAATGATATAAAATGTTGTTTTCGTTTGACCAGTAGGGCACAACATCTTCCAACATCTTACAACAAAGTTGGATGGTGTTAGTTGAAAATGTTGCGCTCGTTTGACCAGGGCTTAAGTCCTCAGGACTTGTGAACCTCAGAACCTGTTCAAGATTTCCGACCCGAATTTCGCTATAAATGTATTAAATAAATGCATTTGTTACATGATATATACAAAATACTTGCCTTTTTATTTCAATTTCTTTCAAAAAGATGCCAAAAACAGCCAACAGCTCAAAAAATCTACATTTTAACCCACTTTACGGCTTCCACTCCATATATTTTCATAGTGAATGTTGTACACTTTACTGGCCAGAGTAATGGCGGCCGTCACATAGTACTCCTTAGTGCTCTCTGGTCATCATTATGATTACATTTTTGATTTTTTTCCATAGCAGAAGTATAACACAATGTAAATATCAATTTATTATCAATGCATAAGGGTGAAACATGGAATAGAAGTGTACTGGGGGGCAATATACAGCATTTAATTAACCCAAACGTACTAGTAACATCAATATTTAAACATTCTTCCTCTAAATATATTTCAGGATGATTAAGAGGATATTCATATTTTTTTTGAACACATGGGTATAATCATGTAAGTCAAGTGAAAATTGTTTTGTTTGCATTCTTAAAAAATACATCTTTTCTTTTTTCAGTCTATTATAATTATCACTATTAAAACATTTATTACAACCATGAAAAAAACATCAATGAAATTGATATACAGTATTGTTTTCTGCATAATATCCATCAACAAATCTACTTAAATTTTTCATTCTCCATTAATGGTAATTTGTATTCTAAAATGTATTCCATTTCATATAATTCTGATTTAACTTCACTTAACCAACATAATGCTATTAAACTTTCCATGGTATTACCCTGTATCCAAATGATGGGATTTGTGCAATTTTATCATCTTGTAAATAATTGCTTCTGATTGTTTTTAGTGTTAAACCAGCAATTTTATGCATGATGTATCGTAAAAAGATAAAATATTTGTGATGTTATAGATTAAATTTAAAAATTTTATACACCCAAGTCTTAGTATATTAACTTCATTGCTACATTAATAATAAATTGCATCTCAAAATATGTATTCTTTTTTACATTGTTCGTTATACCATGTGTCAAAATCATTTGTTTCACTTTCTGAAATATCAAAGTATTTTTATCAATCATATTTCCCCTATATGTTAAATCAAAAATTTATATGGATGATATCCTTTTACAGTATTATCAATTTCAAGTGATTTTGGAAAGTTTGCTAATTTCATAGACAAGAATGAATAACTGTCAATAATTTGTAGATAAATTTCTTATATTTTTAATGATAAATTTTTATTTCCATTCATAACAGTTTCGGGAATCAGATTTTTTTGTGTCAATAAGTATTTTGATAAAAATATTGTCAAATGTATCACCTTTATGTGCAATCCAAACAGAATTTCTTTGTTCTAAAATAAACTGAACTAATCGTGATGTTACATCATTACAATCAAATACAAATTGACAATTACCACAACAATGAATGGGATCAATTGATAAGTCAGTAATATAATCCAAATCGCGTTAAAAATACTCAAACTTTTTGTGAAAAGGAATTTTCCATTTTGACATATTTTCTGAACAACCCAATAGAATGGTACCATTAAATTATTTTAATCAGTTTTGGTTTCAAAATCAAAGACAAAAAATGTTGGTGCACGCTCATTCTTATTAAAGTCTAAAGGTTTGATGTGGCATTTATGTTGCTTGCCCAGATATTTTCTACAATGAGCACAATTATTTTTTGACAATCATGAAAAACAACCTTATTTTTTTTAAAGAAGAAAAATCTTGAAACAATTTTATTACATGGATTACAAAAAAAATTTTCGACAAGGAGCAACCTTAACACTGTTAATTATTTTTCAACAATTTATTAAACAGATGTTTTTGAAAACAATATGTAGATTTAAAAATTATATCACATTCTGTGCATTGAATAGAAAAATTTTTTACTTTCTTACCCTTTGAATAACATTTTAAACATGTATCTTCATTTTTACATATATGAGAGTCCACATACTTGGAAAATTTTAAATGCATGCATTTAAAGAAAAATAAATCTAGGTTTAAGTTAGAAAAAAGTTTAGGATTTAAGATTAAGTCATAGTGAGAATCATTTAACCATAAAAAAATAACTTTATCACTTATGTGAAAAGATTCGTGATTAGTCACTCTTGAATCATAAATTATTGTATCTAATTTATCTTTAGAAAAAATTACCAAATGAAAATTATATTTTTTTAAATAGTTTTCATAAATTATATTTAGTTGGTTAATGGAAACACTTCCTTCCGGTAATTTAGCTTCTTTATAGAATGTTTGAAGTAACTATGAACTTTGTTTACAGTAACTATTTCATCAACTGATTTATATTAATATTTTTAAATTTAGATTGTTTATTGTCATTATTAATAAACATTTTTCCAATTATTACAGCCACAGCAAAACAACAATTCTTAATTTGAGTTTGTAACTTGTCACACTTAAATTGTAAAATACCATTTCTGACTTCTCTTTGATGCTTCAATACTGGATGATTTGTTTTACCACCACCCCTACTATCATCATCAGGATATAAGTTATAAATAAGCTTTTTGTTTTGTTTTTCCAAATTGGACTTTTTCCAAAATGGGATTTTCTTATTTTTATATTGATTTGGAATAGTAATACATACAATTGTTTCCAAATCATTATTAAAAATTCTAAAATGTTACTTTGTATATTATGTTCAAAAGAATCTAATAATCTCTGTATAGTGAATTCCTTTAAAGGTAACAAGGCTGTCAAAAAAGGTTTTAATGGAGCTTCTTCAAAAAAAAATCTACCTAAATCATTCTCAGAATTTACAGATAATTTTGCTATATTAGGTAAATATTGTAGTACTTGTGAAAATTGTTTCAAAAAATCAGGTAAATTGTTGAAATTGTTTTTTTTAAAAAAATTTGATGTGATCCTTAACTTCACCATGTAAAAATTTTTTTATATTGTAAATGAATTAATTTTTAGTTGTTTTGATTTATGCAATTTTTTCACCAATTTTTGAATGAAATATACTAACTATTTTCATTATTTGAAAAAATTTTCATTTTTTTTCTTCTTTCTTCTTCAATTTTTCATTTTTTCTTTTTGACATGATTTTTTTCTTTATCTTTCATTTTTTTCTTCACCGTCTACATTGTCATGATAATCAATAACATTTTCAGATCCTTTTATACACATGCAGTTTAGATTTAATATTATAAGCGGTGTATCATTAGATGGTTTACACATAGAATTACCCTTTGTTAAAATTAATTAAAAAAATGGCTATAAATCACTACACAATATAGACGTTCATTTATTTTTAAATAAAAATGAAAAAGAAAAAAGAAAAAATAATGAAAGAGCCAGTAGTATTTGTACCTATGAAATAAGGGATAATGATCAATGTATTTTATTCTCATCTTTCTTATTTGAACAATCAATTCAGGATTGTAAATCAGATGATAATGATGATAATTCTGTAAGATATTATTATGTTAATACAATAAAAAATATTTATTTTGTTTTAAAAAGATATA